TCTTCCCCCGTCCCACGCCCCGACCGACCGGTACCACGTCCTTTTATACCTGTTCCGGCTCCGCTCTCTGCTTGCCACCAGCCTCTCGCCCTACCTTCCTCTACTCCTGCCTCGTCGCTCCGAGACTCGTGGGATTACCATTACGACGTCGCAGCCACCGACATCGCCGCCGCTGCCGTTGCCGCTGCCAGTCGCCGCGAAAAGACTCGTACGCATCGCCAGGTAAGCGAGAGAAAACGAGAGAGGGGTCGGTGGGCGAGCGGACTGGTGGCAGGAACGGAGGGAGATATGAAGAGAGACAGCGCGAAGGTAGAAAAAGGAAAAAAGAAGCGCATTCCAACGACTAGGCTCTCGAGACGCCGTAACGACGATTCCCATACGACGGCAAGCCGTACGCGCAACGAACATCCAATGACCTGAGAAAGAAAAGAGGCAATTCGTACCCGTCTCTCTCCCGCTTACTCACTCCTTCTCTTTCTCTCGTAGGCGCGCGCTCGCTTTTGTCTCAAGAGCTCTCCTGCCTCCACCGCCGGACTCTTTGCGCACCAACGCGACGGCGAGTACTCCCAACAAAAGTCATCCAGCCAAACTACGTACGTGGGCTGATACGCAGGGTAAACTCGTGCATCCTTATTACCATCGTCGACCCGTGTTGACCGGCTCTCGCGGCTCACTCATAAGAGCGAGCGCGCGCCCTTGGACTTCCGGCGGATGCGCGGTGTCCTTGTATCGGGGGGCCCCTACGCGTTGCAGCCGTCATCACCGCTACTACTTACCACCGCTATTATCGGCGCTCGATGACATTTTTCCGCGGAGGGTAGAAAAAAAGAGAAAGAAAAGGACGAAGCAGAGAAAGAACAAGGTGGAGTAGAAGAAAAAGAAAAAGAAAAAAGAATGGCCCCGTTTTTTCTCCGTTTTCCTTTCAATGAGAAACCGTTAAGGGATCGCCCCCTTAATGGGGAAGGCCCGCACACCTGCTCGCGCGATGCGTACATGCGCGGCTAGTAATAATGTGTGTGGATTGGGAGAGAGAGAGAGAGAGAGAGAGAGAGAGAGAGAGAGAGAGAGAGAGAGAGAGAGAGGTGAGCGACGAGAGAGGCGAGGAGATGCGAGATGAGAGATGCGAGATGTGAGATGTGAGGTTGGTCCCTCGTTTTGCCAGGGGGCCCTTTTCTCCTTCTGGATCCTTCTACTCCTCCTGCTAACATCGGCTTCGGCCTCGGCCTCGGCTCTTTTGCGCAGCTTCCCTTGGCAGCCAAAAATATCGCGCTTGCAGCAGCCTGCAATTGAAGTACCCGGGCGCCCGCCGCTCAAAGGTTAAAGTCCTTGGCGCGCGAGGAAAGCGTCCGCTTCGACGGCCAATGATGTCATCGCACACCTACGCTTGCGGATTTACGCGAAGGTGTGCGCGAGATAGCGGTAGGTTGGCAGGCAGGCAAGTAGGTAGACAGGCAGGCAGGGAGACAGGCAGGGAGACAAGCAGGCAGGCAGGCAGGCAGGCAGGCAGGCAGGCCATTCGCTCGAAAAATATCTCCGGGAACATGGATCGAGAGCTCTTTGCCGAGCGCGCCTCGGCCTCTTGGCAGCCAGGGGAAGGCGGAGGGGCGATGCTTCCAAGCCGAATTACCGGTTATGTAGATGCTCCGATGCAACCCCTACCTCCCGCGGCCGCCGCCTCCTTCGAGGGGAACAAAGCCTTTGCGGGAAAGAAAGCTGCGCGACGCGAATTATAAAACGAAGCGCTCGACTTTCCGACACGGAACGGCCGGGGCCCTCCCAAGGCTCTCCCTTACCCCCTTAGACAGACGGCTCGCCGGCAAAGGGAAATAATCAAAAGGTAAGCCGGGTGCGGCGCAAGGAGGACAGGGGCAGAGACGAGGTGCGCTCGAAAGAAGAGGCCTGGCCACGTTTTATTCGTGCGTTCTTTGGATGCGCGGATGACAGGCAAAGCTGGTAAAGCAGGTAAGACGAGGGGAGGGAGAGCTGCTTTGAAGAATATCCGAGTTGTTTGGGCACCCCAATGTCCCCGTGAGGCTGGCGTCGGAGGTCCGCGCGCGCCCGAGAGCGCTAGGCGGGGGATCCCCGCACGGCTGGTCAAGCCACATTCCGTTGGCCAGCGACCGCTGCCACCGCCACCGCCGCCGTCGTCGCCGACGCCACCGTCACCGCCACCGCCACCGTTACCGCCGACGCCGACGCCGACGTCGACGTCGACGCCGCCGCCGCCTCCTCCTTCTCTTTCTCCTTCTCCTTCTCTTCCTTCGAACCCTTCCTTTTCGCTTCTCTCCTCCGTCATCTCCTTTTCTCACCGACGCGACCGAACAACGACCGACGCGACCGACCAACCGACCAACCGACCGACCGACCGACCGACCACTCGCTCGCACTCGCTCTCTCTCTCTCTCTCTCTCTCTCTCTCTCTCTCCTCTGTTTCTTCGCCAGTCTTCTTGCCGCTAAATCGACCGCCCCTCCCCCTTGCCATGCTTATCCGGGCCAACGAAAAATGCGCCCAGCACTCAAAAAATACGAAAGCCGCCCGCCACGTTTCTCTCCAACCCCACTCCCTTCTCCGCCCCTCATCTTCTTGCCACCCTACGTCCCGCGGTCTTTCGGTGTCCTCGTTCTCCGATTGCCTGCTTTTTTTTTCTCGTCACCATGGCGGTTCGTTGGCTTAAGGTGGGTGAGGGGTCCGACGTCGGCACGCGCGCGGGGACCACTCTCCCGAGCGCAAAATTCGCCACGTACGCCGAGCGACATGCAAATGCGCGTCCCTCGAACGCCCACGCTTACGCGCTCGATTCGCTCGCGGGCTCGTTAGCTGGGCTGGGGGGGAAAGCGCGAGCGATCGAGAGGGTAGGAGGGGGAAGGCTGGGACAGCTCGCTAGCGCGGAGGACGGAATGTTTTCACAAGGAGGACGAGGGCGAGGGTGAGAGAGAAAGAGCGAGAACGACCGGCGGAGGGGCGAGGAGGCGAGAGCTGGTCAAGCGACTGGCTGGCCTTGGTTTCGAGCGTGTCGAGACTCGCTTAGATACAACGACGATGCTGCTGCTGCCGCTGTTGTTGCTGTTGTAGCCACCGCTGTTGCTGCAGCCGTCGCCACCACCACCGCCGCCGCTGCCACTGCTGCTGCTATTGCCGTCATCGCCGCCGGTGCCACCACTGCGACCACTGCCACCACTGCCACCGCCGCCGTTCTCGACATCGCTACCATTGACGACGATAATATGTTAAAGTCTTCTCTCCCTATTCCCGAGCCCTAATTCCTTCGACCCGCGTACCAGAGCTCAAATTTTATATATTCCAACGAACTCGTCTCCCCCCGCCCCTCCTTCTCCTCATTCTCCTCCTCATTCTCCTTCTTCATCTCTTCACCAAGCCTCGGGTAGGCCTACCCCACTCTTAGGCCCCAGGCCCTGGCCTCCAAGTCGCTCGCGCTCCCGCCGAAAATCTCTGCCGGGCCTTGCGCGCACTGGAAAAATTACGCTTCTCCGAAAGAGAGAGGCGATACGTTTCTTCTTTGCCCCTCGGCCGCGCGTCGCTCGCACGCTCCTTTTCGTACCGGTACACAGAAGGGGTCAGAGGGGTCAGAGGAGGCAGCGCGCTCATTCTCCCCGGAGCCCCCCCCCCTCCCTTTAACCTTGAAGCCATCACGATTCGCAAATCGAATTTGGCCGCGCGGCGAGCGGTGTCGAGGAAAGAATAAAGAGAGAAGTCCCGAGAGGAGGGAGACAAGGTAAGGTAACCGCGGGGATCGTTCTCTTCCAAGCGCGCGTGCACAGCATCTCTCTCTCTCTCTCTCTCTCTCTCTCTCTCTTTCTCTCTACCACTCTACCTCTCTATCTCTCTACCTCTCAACCTCTCACTCGTGGCACACCAAGAAATTTTCACTCTCTCGTCTCTCCGATCTTTTGCATCTTATTATACACTCACACGTATAAATGTATACATACATATGTTCAGGACTTTCTATAAAATCCTTTTTAACGAGAACAATACGTTGATGGCCAGGCAGGCAACCGAGAGAAAGGAGTATGAAGGAGAGGGTGGATGATACGTGGAATGACACCATCCTCCATATATGTTTCGAGATACATGTATTGTTCTTAAATGCCTCCACGAGTACCATTATAATATTTTACTTTATACAAGTCATTTAATATGATTAGAAGGAAGCGGCGCTCGCAATGATGAATTACATGCGTATGTGAAAGGTGGATAAGAAGTCAGCGGCTCTGGTTACGACGTGCTCGAATTCTAGGTAAGACAAAGCCCCGTCACCGTCGATGTCGCTTTCCTCGAGCACCTTCTGACACACCGTGGAGATCTCATCGTCGGTGAGCCCGCCACGCACCAGCTGCCGGCACGTGTGTTCTAAATCACCGAGGCCCACGAGTCCGTCCTCGTCAAAATCTAAAAAATCAAAGCAAAGCCTTTGCTCAGGACCGTGGCCCGGACTCATGGGGGATTCACCAAGTCCCTGGCTTACCATAAATCCTGAAGGCATAATAGACTTTGAGGTCGCGCGGCGCATGCTCCGAGAACACGGACATCATCTCGAGGAAATCCTCGAAGCAGATGCCCTCGACCTCGTCCTCGGTTTGGTCCGACTCCAGGCCATTCCTTGTAAACACCTGGCCGATCCGATCCCTGAACGGATTTTCCTGGCCGAACCGGCAAACACCAAATCGGTTACTCTCCCTTCTCTTGCCTCTCATTTGCTTTTGCTTTTGCTTTTGCTTTTGCATTTGCATTTGCTTTTCCTTTTGCTTTTCCTTTTACTTTTGTTTTTGCTTTTGCTTTGCTCTCGCTCTTGCTCTTACTCTTTTTCTAGACGCGAGTCCCAATATTTTTACGATATTTACGCCTATATAACTTAATTCCACGTTGCATTTTATTACGCCTCTGACTTTTTATCTCTCCTTTTCTCAACTTCCTAACTAGTTTCTGAATTTCAGAGAATTAGAAGAATTACGATAGCTCAGCGACTTAGAAAATTCCCAACGGTCGACAACCATGCTTAAATCATTTGCGAACATTTGGTGTTTTCGTGTCAAATATCTTCCGATACGGCAGTATTAAAAAATATTTTGAGCATTGAGGTAGATTAAAAAAATTCGAAACACTTGTAATGCAAAATTATGATGTATGATAATCGTTTTCGAAGCGTAATCAAGCCCACCTTTAAGCCCAATTAACTATTGATTCGTGAAATTTTATATAAATTTTACTTTCTTGACTATTGTCTCGAACATTGCAATGAAACGTTTTATTTATGAAAGAAAAAAATGATTATAAAGCAACAGTTTGGGACGATTAACATAACGATTAAATGTGTCAAAAAAATTTTTAAAACGTATTTCATAAATGACGTTTTAATTACATTAGTTTAACTTATATGTATATATATATATATATATATATATATATATATATATATATAAATATATATATGTCTATATATATATAAATAAAGAAGATGTATTAATCGCGAAACTTAAGAATTCTATCAATGATAAAAAAAAAAAAAAAAAAAAAAAAAAAAAAAAAAATAAATAAAAGGCCATCGTGTATCGTTCTTTCATTTTGGAAAAGAATTTCAGCTACAAAAGCGAGGAACACGTTTCAGTTCGCCTTTTTCAAACGTAATGTAACGATATACAATTTCTTCGACATTTGTTTTTCATTTTACAGTGGAAAAATCAATTGCTGAAAACTAACAAAACTAAAGAATTTAATATATGAGATCAAAAAATCACGTAGTTAGTAACAATTCGATATTCAGACCAAATAATTCAAACCAAATAGTTAATTAATAATTATTTCATTAATGATGTTATTATATCATTGAAATATTTATTTTTATAAGCAACGCTTTATTTTGGAGATCTTTTTAATCGCAAATGATGTTTAAGCGATAAAATGTATTACGATAATTGACACTTTTTATTCACACATAATAATTTTTAAGGATTATTTATAAATGTCACAGAACAGTAGTATTTTACATTTTTACAATTCGTATAATAAATATATTTCAATGTCAACGATCTTTCCATTAATTTTCGCAACAATTATTCAACAATTATTCTTCGCCCTATTAAAGTTAATTCCGAGCATAAGTTAATTCTTGGTATCGCTGTTCCTTCATCTATAATTAATCCACATGCTCATAAACTATAATAATTTTTACTTAATTCATGCAAATATACCGTATAATTCATGTGCGCGAGTTGATATATTAACAGTCACAAACTTCAACATATTTGAATTATTTCCAATTTTTGATGCGTTCATTCAATGCATCGACTTTCTGTATATTATAAACTTTGATATTTTAGATCTCATAATATGTACATTTACGCAAGTATTTTATTAAAATAAGTTTAATATAATTGTTAAAAGTAAATGCTTGTTTGGCTGGCAATTCAATTAATAAGCATACATCGTCAAAGTTTAATAAAACAAAAAACAAAAATATCAAATCTATCATTTAATTGTTTGTTCTTTTTCTTCTTCTTCTTATTCATCATCATCATCATCATCATCTTCTTCTTCTTCTTCTTCTAATAATAATAATAATAATAATCATAATCATAATCATAACGACAACAATGCAGTCATTCAAATAAGTTTCTGAAAATTCATGAATTATCAAACCAGAGAAAACTTTTATCTATTAACGGCTTTTGTTTGAGAAAAGTTCGCGCGTGCGTATGTATATTACCCGCTTAGCAACACATGAATTATTACAAATTACTTTATTTTATAGATATTAATTAAATCCATAGCCATGGCTTTTTAAATAATATATCCGTTGGAAAAACGTTCGATCTCTCGTTCTGCTATTATTACTTTATATATGGATCCAATAGTAGGCGAAATATACACGATTTTAATATGTTAGATGTAAATAAATTAACACTCATTTAAACTTTCTTCTTAATGCAGTTTTCAAAAAAGTTAGCTTACCTCTTGGCCTCCAAGCATCTCAATCATCTCTATCGAAAAACCTGTTTTGAAGTAAAAATTTAACTTCTTTCGTTTTTTTATCTCCCTCCCCACCCCCGACCCGTTCTTTTTTTTACATTTTTTTTTTAATTTTTTTTTGATTATTTATTTTTTAAGGAAATAATTGACATAATCTCTTCAAAGTGTAGAGAATTACAGTTTGATAATGTTGCGCAGAAAATGCCTGCGTTTCTTATTGCAAAATATGACATTGGCATAGCCCTCGGGTAAGAAAGATCGCTGGAAATTATTCGAATTATTCTTAATTTATATTTATCAGAGAGAGAGAGAGAGAGAGAGAGAGAGAGAGAGGGAGAGAGAGAGAGTGAGAGAGAGAGTGAGTGAGTGAGTGAAAGAGAGATCTATCACAGGCCACATTACAAATTACTAACATCGCGTACGTATAAAATTTTAAAGAAAATTGCGTCCGTGTGTGGGAGATCCCGTTAAGGCAAGATACTTGATGTACGAGCCCGAAGCGAAGCCGAGACCGAGGCTTCGCAAAGTAAGGTAGGCGTTGTCGTCTTGGTAATCGTCTTGGTAATCGTCTTGGTAGTCCTAATGGTAATCGTCTTGGTAGTCCTAATGGTAATCGTAGTGGTAATCGTAGTGGTTGTCGTCTAATCGTAAAATTAGGACTATAACGGCTGAGAAACGCGTCGTGATATTATTTCAGGGAAAGGCCCGCGGCCCCCCCCCCCCCTCCCCTCCACGGATCGAGACGTCGTCCGATCGAAGGGTGTCGCAAATTATTAAAATCGACTGGCTGGTCTAATTTCTGTAAATACTGAGAAAGAGCACCTTGAGCTCGGGTATTCGGGCCAAGCAGTTGAGCGGCAACCGTAAATTCGAGGCCTCGTGCGATGTCATGCTGCGTGGAACCATTCCGGGATCGGACATCTCGCGGAAGCGCTTCTGCAGCCTACGAGAGGAGAATGGACGTAACGCGGGAATTAATGTCGCGGCCGGGGCAGCCGGCCAATGTCTATCAACGATACCTCAGTATCTCCTTCCTCGTAAAGTACGTGCAGTCCTGGTAGTCCTCGAGCTGCTCCTCCGAAAAGGTCACGATTTTGTTGCCCATCGCCACTCCGAGCGAATTATTCGCCCTTAAAATATTCTCGCGCTACCCGAACCACCGCCACGACCCAGATTAACACTCGGACGCGAGCTATGCCTCAGCTGTAATCCCAATGTCTGCTAGGGGTGCGCCCGCGACACACCCCCATCGTTACAAGGACGCGCCTCGACAACACCCACGCACCGTACAATGTATGTGCACGCGCGTGTATCGGCGGCTTAGCGTTCTCGAGGTCGCCGTACATGGGACTTGGTTCTCACACACGCACACACGCGCGCTCGCACTCTCTCACTCTCTCATCCCCATTAGCCACGGCCCCAGCCCCGGCTTTTATTCCGTTTCGTTCGATCTCTTTCGTCCTCGATTTCGTCGCCCCTTTTCGTCTCCACGCTGCTTGGAGTTATTTACTTTTATATGGTAGAAACTGCTGCGAGGCAACTGTTACGCCCGACAATGCTTACATGTCGATATGCGTGCCACTATGCTTTCAAAAATATGTGAATTCACCGCGTAATTAAATAATAATACATTTTTATCCAAGTTGCACTCGTTGCGAGCTATATCAAATTTACGTACTCAATTTTTTATTTATTCTCCGCTGCGCTGCTTAAACTAATAAGCATCGGTTAAAAACAATGTTCATTGTTGCCATTATTATTATTATTATTATTATTATCATTATCATCATTATTATTATTATTACTATTATCATTATTAATGCAGTTGCCGTTGTTGTTAATAATTTTTCTTTTTTTTTTTCATACAATTTGTCTATTTAACTTTTTTTTCTTCTCTACACAATGCGTTCTCACGGTCACTTACGTGTGTGCGTACCGTTTGATGCACACACGCGCGAATAATTGCGCGCATACGCATACGGCGTATGCGAATTGTGTGGGTGTGTGCGTGCGCGCGCGTTCGCTCGCACGTGTGTTGCGCGCGCATGGACGCACACTCGCGCAGAATGTAGATTGAGTAAAAACTATTACGCATACATTGTTACATATCATGCGCGCGTCGCGTACGCATAACACACGTTTCGTTTATACTAACCTTACTTTGTTTCCAACTGTGATTAATCGTAATGCAAGATTTTTCTTTGGACAAAAAAAAAAAAAAAAAAAAAGAAAGGAAGAAAGAAAAATGAAATAATTCAATATATTTCAGTATTTAAGAGGGATAAGCTTTTACTTCATTACACTCGCATTCACATTTACAGTCACCATTATATTCATGATTTTTATGGGATTGAAATTTAAAATTGTTGTTCCTTTATGTGGTCTTCAAGAAAAAAAAAATTAGATTTTCATACAATTACTTATTTCATTTTACCTTTTAAATATCTTCGATTAACAATAACTTTAATGTATACATTTATGATAATATCAGTATATCAAAATAGACGTACGATTTTAAACAATTTCCATTTCAATTTCATCGAGATATTTATTGAAATCGGTAAAAATATGTCAATGTAAAAGATTATGGCCAAAATATTATAGTTATTTAATTCCTTGATAATATACATAATACGTATTATACGTTATAGGAATAAAAAAGATTTCAACTAATTTTACGAATGGCTTAATGTTAAATGAAACGCACATTTTCTTCGTTAATTAATTATATATTAAAGTTAGCTTTACGTAAAAAATAAAAGTATATTTCTGGTAGCACATGTAATTTGTAGAATATATAATATTTTGTTATAGTATTTTACATTTTATTATAATCTTTAAGGCATATATAATTATAATATAGAATGTAATGTAGATAATAATAGTATTAAAATAGTATAATATCATGTCCAAGTTTATTTTTTATTCACTATCGATTTTCTTTATTTCAATTAACATAACAATTCGGTTAAGAATGACATATTAATAACATGTTTTTTGCATTTTATATCTTTATATTTTCTTATTAAATTTTCCTACAAATTTCAACGAATAAAATAGATTATCCAATTTTTATACATTCGTTATCAACGCATAAGAAAGATGATGAACAATTACATATACATTTTATTTACATAACTTTCAATGTAATAAATATTATTATTTAATATATATATATATATATATATATATATATATATATATATGAATTTAAAATAAATATTAAAGCATAATTTAATCGTACACATTTTCTCAAGTACTCTATTCATTCTTGACGTATATAAATATCATACAAAGTTTAAGGAACTGTATTCCATGTCTCTCTCTAATTTGATTTTAAAGCATCTCATATATTTATTTTGTCCAAACTGTGGAGAAAAAAATGCGTTTATAATGTGTATTAAAATAATTATATGGCGATAATAATTGCAATTGTTATGTGTCTTATTTTGTATACCATATTTTAATAATTTAACTTCTTTTATGGAAATTGTCGGTAATGGTCATTTAACAGTCATCGGTATCTTTATTTCTTTTTTTCTTATGCAGAGCTTTCGTATAAACACTATTATAAAATTGCTTTTTTTATTTTTTGTTTATCTGCTATACTTAATTTAAACATTTTTCAACGTAATTCAGTCATTGTTTATTATCTTATAAAGCCTGTAATTAAAATAATTAAAATAATTATTTGAATGATAAATTCTATAATAATAATATAAATTATACAAATCTTTAAATTAATATTGAAAATTGAATTTTTGCAACTTACTTATGACATATTGCATTAAGACAATGCTTGCCTTAGAATCTTCGTCTTTACAATTTCTTTTTTCAATTCTCTTTCCCATTCTTTTTTATTCAATAATTTTTTTTTATTTCTATTAACAAATTTAACAGCCTCTATATCTCTTGAATTAAAATGTGTTATTTTGGCAATCTTTTTGTGCAATTGGCCCAAGCCTTTGCGATCTCTTTTTAAGACAGTTTTTATCGGATACTTTTTACCTTCGCCCGATGGACCCAAACCACCATCTTCTTTCCAACCTGTATTTAACAGCATTTGATAACCTTTATTTTGCTTTGGTATTCCATAAAAAGTATTTTTCAATTTTGGTTCGCCATTGAAAATATGTAATGTCGATGATTCGTGCCTATTTTTTGAGCAGTCCATAAAATAATGCTTACAAACATTGCAATAGAAGCCCTCTTGGTTCAGTCGTTTGTCAGCATTTTCATTGCCATTAGAAACTTTATCATTTCTAGCCACAATTTCCTTTCTTCTATTTGTACATAAATATTCCTTTATCAAATTAACAATATCGAAATAATTCTTTTTTCCAGCTAAATCAACCGCTGTAAATCCTGATTTATCGATTGCTTTTGCATTAGCGTTAAGTTTTAGTAAGAACTCAACTATTCTTACGTCTCCTGAATAAGCTGCAGCCATTAACGGCGTCCAACCAAACTGATCGGAAATGTTTACATTTTTAGAGCTAAAATGTTTGCTAATAAAATTAAAATCACCCGATTCTATTGCTTTAAATAAAGTATTTATATTATTTACATTTGTATCGATATTCTTGATCCCATCTATACCTTTTACCTTTGGTTTCTTTAACGGTGCTTTTTTACAACCCGATAATACAGCATTGTTTTGACTTTTTTGCGATACTATTTCATCGTACACTAATTTTGCTTCATTCGCTTTAAATTCAAGTATAAAATTGCTCCTCTTGCCTGGCTTGGCAGCATCGTTTCCTTCTTTGACAAAAGTTTTCAAAGGTATCTCCACAAGACTACATTCAAGATTTCTTGCAATACGAGACATCGAGCCAACCTAGGACAACTCGAATGTTAAAATACCACTAACGCTATCATGCATTTTAAACTTCAGTAAATTTAATCGAATTATTTATAGCCATTTGCAAGATAGAATTAAGCATTTTGCTATTATTTCTTATGTTTTATAGGTTAGAAAGACATAAATGTTGTTATTATGGCACTGTAAAGGTAAACCCTATTTATATAAGTTTAACTATTAATGACTTATGATATCGTAAGTTTCGACAATATCTTGCAATACACGGCCGCGTTAACTTGAAACGACGAATGCAATCTTAAACATACTTTTTACGTACAATGTACGTTGACAGTCGAGTGCCATGCCAATTATTTAAGCAACTCGACTACGTCGATGCACAGGCGCACGATAGATTATCTCAACTTGAGAAACTTGAGCAATGGCGCGAAAGTCCAATCACGCGTGTTCCGACTAATAAATAGGCCCGCCTTTATGTTTTATTAATAAGCATTGGCTTACTTCTATCAAAGGTTAGCATTCGCCACATCACTCGATCATCTTGATTAACGAGGAGAAAGCATTTACCAAAAGATACGCTTCACTTCTTTTAACTAATTAGTTTTGTCTTTTTATATTTAGAAATAATTTTAATAATTAGACACGAAATTATCCAACATATAATATAATGAATGCCAATTGTTCGTTCCATTGGACTCGAGCCTACACTTAAAGTATCCCATAAGCCATTAAAATCATTATAGATAGACTGTGTTTAGATATATGTTGATAGGAGTTTATATTAGGCGTATTGTGCCACAATTTTTAGCTATTGTAAATGAATTGTCGTCACACATGTTACAGAGCCGAGACGCTTGAACAACCCATGAGATGGTAAGATTTTATAAATCATTGTTTCGCTAACGAGTATGCAAGTTTGAGTTTGCAAAATTCCCTCGAGATTGGCTAGGCATTGCCGAGTCCGATGCTTAATGATGCTTAATTTGCCAATAATGCTGCGTGACTCCTGGGAATTCACTGCAGTGACTTTTCCCATTAGTCACTCCATATTTACGTTTATATGCCGACCTTAGCATATCGATAATAAAGATGTACTTGAATGAGGAATAACCTTGTGGCAGCAGTTAGCATGTTGAGGCTAGCGAGAGAGCATTTGTTATCGTATTATCTTACCTTCCTACCTTCCACTAGCCCTCGAGCATCGACCGTATACGTATGATTTTGTACTCGTGCATACGCAAATTTCCACGAGAGGAAACGTGGAAACTACAAACTGTAGTTCAAATGATCGAAAAAGGAATTCCGCATGAATCAATAGCAATGTCCTATTAAATATTTATCTGTAAAGAAGTTTTAACGTTCGCCTCTCCTTTCAGTTTTGCAGCTGATAAATATTCCAAGGAATTTTTTTTTCAATTATATTGATAATATGAATTTCATAATGTTCGTATGCAACGTGTTTAACGGGGTGAGGATTGGTGGCGGTGGGAGTGGGAGTGGGGCGGGGAGGGGGGATGCAAACCGAAAAATAGTTTGAATACATCTTTTTATTTAATGCTGCATTATACAGTGATGTTTATATCATTTATGCATTTATTCAACTTTAATTTATAATTATTTAAAGGCAAGTACTAAAATATTTTTTAAATAAACGGAAATATTTTTATAATATTAATATTTTATGGAACTTCAATAAGTGTCAAATGTTTTCGCGTTGAAAGCCCATTTAAACTATATGTTCTAATATGATCATAATCAAATTAAATAATGTAGAAAAAATTAACATTATTATTATATATTATTAAATTTAATAACTTTTTAAAAACAATGTTACAATCGTATGAAACACACACACACACACACACACACACACACACACACATATATATATATATATATAATATTAAAAAACTTGATATTGCACTAATTTTCTTCAAATTTATTTGGATAATTATTATAATGATTTTTACTTTGTAATTTCTCTTCATTATTTTCGTTTTCTACGCGTTGCTCGCCATCCGCTACATATTCCCCTTTCCTTAAATATTTATCGCTATCAGAACATTCTTGATTTTGAGAATATTGTTGATTATTATAATACTCTTCGTACTGAATGGGATCATATTGATTGTATTGGTTATACGATTCGTTAGAGTAGTCGTCTCCATAATTTTCCTGTCGTTCAACATTTATTTGATTCAAATTTTGCTCTTCCGCGAATTGAGGCACGCTGCTCGAACTATTAATTTCCTCATGACTTTCATTATTCCCTTCGCTGGCTTCTTGGTCTACATAGCTTTGTCGAATTTGAGGATTCAAGCTTAGATTATATTGCTGATGTATCGCATTCTTCTTCTTCTTCTTCTTCTTCTTATTATTATTATTATTATTAGTATTGTTATTATTGTTATTATTATTATTGTTGTTGTTATTATTATTATTATTATTATTATTATTATTATTATTATTATTATTATTATTATTATTATTATTATTATTCTCTTGAAAATTACCGTTGATCATTTCGGTGGAATTTAGATCAGTGTCGTCGATTATTTGGTCGAGTTCTTCTGTAATAATTGAAAACAATCATGTCAAATTGATGAGCATATATGACAAGTGATATTTTTGTGCTCGTAAAACAATCGCAAAAATTTGCGAGAAATTCTCGATATATTTAGTCAAACTTTTATGATTGGATCGTAGGGAGTTTAAAAAAAAAAGAAAAAGAAAAAAAAAAGATACTTTTCAATATGTCGAGCAAAAGACTTAAGAAATTCAATAATACCTGTATTTAATTCTCTTACATCAAAATATTCACTAATTTTATTCGACAAGTATTCTACGTTGGTTTGTAGATTGGCCATTTTTTCCCTAAAATGACAATGAATTTCTTTAAATAGTGTGGTTTTTATTTTGTTTTTGTTTCTGTTGTTGTTCTTGTTGCTGTTGTGTGCGTGCGCGCGCGCGCGCGCGTGTGTGTGTGTTTTTTTAAAGTACTAAGAAACAAGTAGTAAGAAGTCGTGAAAGATAAAGTAACGTTATAGATGGTAATGAAATAAGTGAATAAGGCGTAGTAAGAGACTTGGCTATAAAAATCATATAAAACTATGATCTACGGTAGGCACCTTTGAGGGGGGTTCCGATTTAGCAGACTTCTTTTTCGGTATTACTTTAACTTTGAGATCAACCTTAACACGGCGCTTCTTGTGCGATGACAAAGTTGTCGGATCGTTTGCATCATTATCATCTTGGTCGGTGACCCCCCCTGCTAATATACAATAGCTGTGGTCACGCACAATGAAAACGCTAATTTCTTACGATTACGTGCACGTGTACAGGCTTGCGTTGCATATTGCAAATATAAAAGGAACGCATGGATGCGCGGCGGCATATATACATCCATTTGTACGAATCAAACGCAATCGATCAAGCTTGCGGGTACACAACGGTCGAGCTTTGCAAGCTATCGGTGAGATCTAGAAGATCATTTTTCAATGCAAATTTTACTTTCTGCACCGTTCGTTCGCTTTGTTAGTATCACCTTTGTAAGAGAAATTAATTCTCGAGCTCATTGCAAAAGCCATAATTTCACTGGATATCGAGGCTGACTTTAAACATTTAAAACATTCGAATGCTTTACGAAAGTTAAACGGACAATCCCGAGTAAGGTGTTTGGTAGAAAAGCACCTTGAAGCAAGCATTACAAAGTAGACAACCGTTGCTCCCTTAACCTCAACAAAACCAAAATCGTGTGATATTAAACGAAACAACAACAACAACAACAACAACAACAACAACAACAACAACAACAACATGAACAACATGAACAACATGAACAACAAATAAACAAACAAACAAACAAACAAACAAACAAACAAACAAACAAACAAAAAAGTAACAAGAAAAAAAGATTTGGATTAATATTGTAAAGCATTGTGATTTGCTTGTTTAGAGATCGACGAGAAAAGAGTACTTGTGATTCTGCTCGTTAGTTTCCAAGCGTTGTGTGAGAGATTGGCATTCCGCCGTGAGGCGCGAGATGAGCGAGGCCTGTTTGCTCAAGGTATCTTCGAGACTGGCAATCGTTTTAGCTGGGAAACGCAATATTGCTGTTAGTCAATTCGTGGAAAATTGACTAATTGCAATCCTGGCACATGCTAGGCATAGTGTCGGCACGCCGATGTCTCACACGCCTCGTACGCGAATAATATACATGTAGAATATTCTCAAGCTCAAGCAGACTGTTTGTTTCCCTTTGAAGTCACGGAAGACAATATACCTAACAGAGCCACGTGGACAAACATCGATAAGCAAGTTCATCGGAGTCATATCTCACCTTGCTTGCTCTCTAGATCGAAGATCAGCGAGGCGAGCTCCTTGTCCTTGTCCTTTTCATCCTTGCCTTTCTCATAGCGGGGCGGCTGAGAACCCACACGAGTCTCCTCCACTATTTTGTTCATATTGATCTACGCAATAGACGTCCATTAAAGAATATCGGAATTTACATTACTTACGTCGACTCTATCTTGGTGATCTGGCGAGGTCGTTACCTCTTTTTCCAATGACGCGATCTCCTCCGTGAGTCGAAGATTTTCACGACGGGCATGCATCAGGTCAGCGTCCGCTCTTTCCAAGCGCATTTTGTAAGAATTTATTTCGGATTGCAGCCTACTCTGCTCTTGTCGGGATTGCCTTTCGCACCTTTCAGCCGACAATTTCACATTCGATACTTCTTCTTGAGACGCGTCTCTTTCAGCCGTCGCTTGCTTCAATTCTTCCTGCATTTTACCTAAACAATTCGCGACCGCACATTATTTATTTAATATTTCACATAACGCACGCGCGTCTTACATTCCACGTTAAATATACAATCGATTATCGATAAGGCATTAGGCAAAAGCCAATCGATGCTATGTAGTTTCTCAGCCACAAGAGATACGCGTCTTGTGAGCGCTCGCTAATAATTTAATTAATTATATCGTGAAAATATTACTATTTAATTTTAAATACAAATAATTAAATAGAAAGCAGTGATGATGATTGGATTTTTCCCATGTATAAAGTATTAATTCGTATATAGCACATAAATATATTTCAATGTATAACGTTATTGTAAGTTAGTCATTTTATGAAAATAGAATTATGCAGGGATAATAAGAACGCCGCTGAGAAAAGGAAAAACTGATAAATTGTCAACGCTATACCAAGCACTTTTACCACAAAATTCTATAATAAAATACTTCGTGAACACTTTCTAGAAGTCGCGTGTTTATTACGATGTATTAATTTCTAGTAATGATCACGATATGATCGTCATCAGAAAAATGTTGACGTGATTAATTTAATATGTTATTCTACTGCAGAGCAAAAATTCATTTCGAACGACATATTTTTATACCAATCATTTTTATTGAAAAGTAGTAATATTTAAAAAAATTAACATGGATTTAAAAATAATTCTAAAACTTTGTATGGAAAATATTATGTTAACGAGTTAGCAATTTTACAACAAAACTTTTGAAAAAAAAAAAAACGTATAGCCGATGGTAAAGAATATCCTAAGAATTCGGTCCCCCAGTAGACGCAGGAAGGTGCAAGCGAATTTACAAAAATGTATCAATAAAAGAGTATCGCTAGAAACTATCAATAATACCCTTCCCATATTTTTTCACAAAATTCTAGAATTCTATTGTGATTTAGGTCGAGGCAGAGACTCGAAGGCAAGAAACAGTCGCGTTGGATAAATAATCAGAAAATAGTTTTTTCAGTAACCCAACTGTATTTATTATATTTTATTTGCCAATTTTCGCTTTACGTCTTGCCATATATTCCATTTATTATTCAATTTACGAGAATAATGTAATTTTTGTAGGTAACCGTAAAAATCTTAAAGATACATTTTGACGGGAATAGAAAATAATGAGACTTAGGATACCTCTGATTACCTAGCGCACTTTAAACATTTAAACAATTCAACAAAATATTGATCGCTACAATTTTTTCTTTAGCGTTCTTAGGGATATGTAGAATCAATTTTTAGTAAGTGGAAATGTATTTTTGATAAATTAAATCTGCCTTACGTTTCTCATAAATGCATTATAGATACAAAGTATTATACGCATGCGATTCCCCGTTAGTTTGGGTAAAAAGTTTAATTAGACTTTACTTGTGATTTATTAATTTAATCGCGATTGTTAAAATATTACTTTTTAAGTACATAGATAGTCGACCATTAAAACTCATAAGGAAACTATTTAGATTCGATCTCATTGCAAACAAAGAAAGTTTTTATGAAAAAAAAGAACGAAAAGATAAAAAAAAAAGAAAGATCGATATAATAATGAGGAAGAATGCTGTGCTTAAGCATATCCACGTGGCAGTTATATTAATTAGATTTTCATCAATTATGATCTTTGAAATCCGTAGAAGTTTGATTGCTGCCGCGCTAATAATACCTGTACAATGGACATTTATTGCTCGTTACTCACAAGTTTTCGCCTGAAGCTCCTTCTTCAGATCCTCTATGTAAAGGAGCTTCTGTGCGATATCTCGCTTGAGTTCCGCGACCTGCCGCTTCTGCTTCTCGGACTCAAGCTGTGACTTGCTGGCAGCCTCCCAGTGCGAGGCCACATCGGCCGACAATTGCTCTATCTGCTGACTGAACTTCCTCTCAACCAGTTGCTTCTCTTCGATGAGCCGCTTACTCGTATCGTGTAGCGCCTCGCGGAGCTTCTCCCGGCGCTTCTCAAGCTCGTCCTTGAGCCTGCGCACCTCCGCTTCCGCCTGGACCTTCTCGTACTCAGCTTGCTGCACGACCTCCGCGGCACGTTTACTCCTCGTTTCAACGTCGGTGTCGCGCGCTCGCCATTTATCCAGCTCCCGACGTAGCTCCTCACCCTTAGCCTCGAGCTCGCGCTTCTCTCGTAAAGCGCGATCGAGCTCCAGGTGGAGCTGTGGTTCGTCTTTGCGCTCGGCCAGCCTCATCAAGTTCTCCTGGTTTTCTTCTCGTGCTTTGCGTAACTCCAGCCTCGCCTGGGTGAGCTGCGCCTCGAGCTCGCTTATCCTCGACTCGAAGACGATGCTCGGGCCCTCTAACGTCGACTTGCGCGATGAACGCGTATCCTCATCTCCCGGCTTATCCGCGCAATTTTCCAGAACGGTTTCGAAAAAGCTGCTCTTATTCTTATTGTGCAGCGCCTCATTTTCCGACACCACCTGCGAATACATACCCCCACTTTCGTTAGTGCAATTCAAACTCATCTTCATCCCACCCTCTCATCTAATATATCTAATGTATCTGTCTAATATAACTAGCGCCTAATTCTGTAATATTTTGACGTCGAGGTTTTTTTTTTTTTTTTTTTTTTTTTTTTTTTTTTTTTTTTTTATAATCGAACAGCGAATATAGTTATATTATACGACTCTTAAACCTCTTTGACTTTCTCCACGAGACTCTTGAGCTCCTCCTTGCAATAGCGCGACTCTCGTTCCAATTGCTCGATATATTCCTCTTGGCGGCCAATGAAGGATGTGAGTTCCGTTGATGGCAAAGCTAATCTATCGTTAGCGGACGAGGAGACCTGAACCATCGGGACATTGCTTAGCCTCGACGCGTAATACTTGATACGAGTGGAGGGTTCCTTTTTCGAAACGTCGCTTATCACGCTATGAACGTCCGCATCGTCCGAGTAATCCTCCCCATAAACGTTATCCTTGCATGATTTCTTAATGATCCCTGGAGGCTTGCTACGGATCATGTAAGCATAGAGCAAGTGGGATCGCAGGTTTTTTGGGGAAAGCAAGAGAATGAGAAAAGCTCGCTTACGCAAAAGCTATCTTTGGTGCGTAGGACTCGGCCAGCAGGTACTTGAGCTTCGAAACCGCTTCTCTGTATGCGATTTCCGTATGATTGGGAAATTTTTTTCTTATCGTTTCCATATTTTACGTAATCGTGAAATCTTCTCTGTAATTACATTAAAGCACTAAAATTTATATTACAAGCTCAAAGATTTTCATTCAAGTCGTGGCATTACAATTTATGAGTAAACAGTGTGTAGTTGTATAGGCTGATATGTTCATTAATTATCACTTCCTTTAACGAAACATTTAATATATTTAATTCATATCAAAGATTTTAATTTATTTGACTTTTTCGAATTTTGCCATTGCAACAAACACAATAAATGAATGACGCAACATCAATGAAAATCGTATTAATAGATTTTGGAAATGTGCACTGCTTAAACAAGCTACGATGTATTTTGACACTTTTCATCATAAATATATTACAGCCGTTTAATATGCTATGAGTGATTCAAAATAAAGTCTTGATTTATTGTGTCTTAATTTTCAGCTAATTCAAACAATATATATCGCCTCTATATTATACATTTAATTCTAATAATTCATTTAAAAGTATTATTTTTAAACATTTTACGTTCATTACAATATTACAATGGAAAATTTCTTAATCCTACCTTTTTTTCTTTTTTCTTTTTTTGCAGTCCTCGAGAAACAGATATTTTTAAATACACATAATACCTAGAATAATGTCAAAATATTATAAAATTCTTTGATTAAATTATGATAGTAAAATAATCTAGCGAAACTTTAATAACGCGAAACAAATAATTCATTCTCAATATTATACAATTATTATAAGATTATTTGATTTTAATTTTCATTTAATATTTTTACACTATAATCGTCATGAGAAATTAATAATTTAAAATCAATCGTCAGATATTAAATAATGGAATAATGAAATTATTCGATATTACTGTCTGCATTTCTATCTTAAATGTGTAAGACAAAACTTAAATATAAAATCAATGCTATATTATGCGGTATCTTTAAATTTATAATTTAAATAATTCCAATGCTCTAACGTTATAATATTCGAATGAGATTCTTTGCATAAGTGTTTAATTTTCATTTACCACTTTGTTTCGTTTGCAAAGTATAGTATTGGCAATTTGAGAAATTCCTAGTGATAAAATCGGGACTTATCCGGCTCGCAACATTGGCTACTAAAATTTTCTGATAATACAATTGGATAAATAATAATAAATTTTATCGTTGACGTTTAATTAACTTTATAATAAATATATTGAATTCCTCAAATCAATTATTTAATTTAAACAATCGTTTAAATTCTCAGATAATTGGACTTTCAAGCTACTATTGATTAAGTGACTCGATAATCTCATAACTTTAAATAATATAGTAGTGCATAGTTAGTTGTATAATCAAACAAATGAAAGTAAAACTTTTTATAATCATCGTGTAATGCAAGGATATTTTCACTTTGAGGATGTAATGATTCTTTAGCATTCATCTATCGCATATCTTTTCAAATCTTTCAACGCATACCGATGCAATGAGCTAAAGAATATTATTTTCATATAAACCATTATGAAGTGTTCGCTAAAGTCATAGTTACAATTGACGTGAAATATGTCTGTATCTTACCAATTCATATTTTATATTGTACTTTTATGATTATACTTTACATACATATTATTTTGAAAAAGTATAATTATATACAAAATTTATTAATCAGTATTGGAATCTAAAAATAATACACGAGACTCATCATACTATGCGGTATTATATTTATTTATTAAAAAAAAAAAAAATATCTACAATTTTAATATAAATTGTGCTACATAAAATAAATCTGCTATCGCTGTAAAAGTATTTTATAAAATATCATAGATGTGTTACATGTATTGCGTGAGGAAAATATTACGAAATTGCTCGATATAACATTGTAAAATGAATATGAAATTAGAAATAGTTAATTTTACACGATAAGAGAAGGAAGACTTTATGCTGTATGAAACAGGTAGTGTTCAATTGTGTACATTATATGGGCATTAATGAACATGCCCGAGACGAAAACGAAGACTAAAAAGAGACAAAAGAATTTAGAGTCATTGTACGTTACTGGTCTAAGAAATTGTAATTCTATGTTAAAATCAATATATACGAAAGGAATACGTGATTTCGCGAATCACCGGTAGATGAGTCACACGAACCCATTCGTTAAATATTTATAAAGCCCGTTGCGTACAAGTGCAGCAGGAGCGCCCAGAGGTGCATTAGAACGCTCGTTTCATAATTAAATGAAGCAAAAATAGACTTTATCAACAAAAAAGAAAAACAAAAACAAAAACAAAACAAAAAAATACAAAATAATAAAAAAACAAATTTATATGCAATTACAACAACAACAATAACCAACAACAACAATAACTAATAATAACGACACGGGCGATAAAATTAATTATCACGATACAATGTGCAATAAGTGTACAGAGATATGATGCTTCGACCAAAGAGTGTATGAGTCGGTGCTTATAAGAATAAAATAACAACAACATTAAGGATCGAACGCAGGTACTTTATTGGTCACACGTAGACGTCTTGACACCTCTCTTTCCTTCGCCCTAGTGTTGTGATCTAAGCACGCGGCACACGTACAATAACTAACCGCGCATTATCCTGACAGCGAGGAGTCGGTAGAGCCGACGTCGCCGTCGCTATTGTTGTTTTTGCTGTTGCTACTGTTGTTGTTGCTGTTGCCACTGCTAGTAGTGCTGCTGCTACTGATGTTGTTGCTGCCGTTGCTTCGATGGTGGTCGCCCGAATGGCCGCAGGATCGATGAATCGGTTGGAGTAGGGATAGTCTCGGCTGATTGGGGGGTGGGGGTGGTGCACGGAAGGGAAGCGTGGGGTGGAGAGGGTTGACCCGACGGAGCCTGGCGCCGATGTTCGCGTGCGCATCCCCGAGGAGGCACCGCGTGTCACGGCACGCGGGTCCGACTTCCTCGTGCCATTAAATTCCGACCCCACTTCCTCGCGACAATCGCGCAAGCCAAGACACTCGGGAGATCGATGAATGGATAAATGGATGAATTGTGAAGGCTCGCCGTCGGGATGCCAAAGCTCTACTTTTCACAATTATCCGCACATAGACACATTTGTGTGTTCATAAATGAGCGCGCAGGTTTCTGTTTATATCGCTCATACGCACACAGGAACCACATACTATAGGTATTGTTGATTGTGATTATCGAGTTTCTTAACAATTCCTTATTTGAGCATAATATTTTTCTCTTTCCGTACGTCTTCGAGTAAACAAATTATTATGTACGTATGTATAATTGCACACGTCGGTTCAACTATTTACAAATCTCTTAACATCAACATATAGATTTTACATCGCATAGTTTTGAAATATAAAAATATCTTAATTACAATTAAAAAACAGCGAAATGATATTTGACGAATTTCATAATACAAGTAAACAATCCCTTATCCCTTAGATAATACTTTGCTTTAAGTATTGTGCATTAAGCGTTGTCGGACGTCCGATTCTCTTCAGCATCCTCGGATGTTAGGTTGTTATAATTTGTTATTGTATTGGTAACATTACTGCAGCCCTTTCTGGAAAGGGTCATAATGAGACCTAGAAGTGCCGATCCGCCGCATACAAACGATAAAACTCCTTTAAAATAGTCAGTGCAATCAGTTGTACATCGCCTAATTATTAAAAAAAGATTATTATTGGTGTATAAAAAGGCAATTTGAATACAATTTAAATAAGGTTTGTACACACACACACGCACACACACACACACACACACACACACAAATAATCTAAAATACTTTCTGCGTTAGTCTCGTCGATTATTATCTAAGAGCATTCATTTGAGATTTAAATAGAGCAATTACCAAACTATCCGTTGCCGCTTAATGTAAATTAATATAAATAAGAAATTCATATTGCAATCCCTTGTGGAGTATGTAATTACAAACTTTAATGAGAATAAATAGCAAATTTTTAAAATTAAAAAATTAAAAAACAGACTAAAAACAACGACTGATTTCTTCTTTATCTTAATTATCTAATTTTTAGAAATATGTTAAGTTTACTTAAAAATTAAACAGCCATTGAAATAACCGATTATAATATAAATTCAATGAAATTACATTTTCTAAAAAATTTTATGAAAAATTTCAATATTTTTATAATATATTGTACTTTATAATTTTCAAAATTATAATACGATCTAGTTCACGTACCATTCAAAATTGACAAAGTTTGTAAGTTCGTGTCAAATCCCTATTTCAACTAACATATTTTTATTAATTCAAAATATAAGTACAATTTGCAGCGTAAAATTTAACTTTTTTCAATGAATTTCATTATTATTTTAATTCATTTTATTAATTAGGCTTTATTTTTTACTATTAACGATTACTAAAAGGCAAATAAAAAGTAAATAAAAATCTTTATTTATTAATAAAGGGTTGCATAGTCTATCATAAAGCTCGATAAAGATCAAAGTATATGAAATATATTTTAATAGAAGATATAATCATAATGTAGCCAATTGAAAAGCTCTTTTTTAAATTTCGCTTTAAACAATATATCAAATAATATATAAACATGAGATAGTTGACGTTTTTGTTTTATTTTGAAAATATCATAAAAATATGTAAAATGTATAGAACTTTTAATTATATTGATGAAAGCATATTGATCAGATATAAATGAATCTTGATCTTTAATAACTCAAAATGTGTACGATAACAATATACATAACTTTAATTTTACACATTGGTATAGAAATATTTTATTTAATCAATGATTAAATAAAAAAAAAAAAAACTTTATAAAATTTATAAGACCATAATAATCGGGAAAATTATTAATTTAATCAATATATAAGGAATATTAGCAAAAGTAGAATAATTTTGTAGTCGAACAACTTGATATTTTTCTTGCCTGTCTTGCAGAATAAAAATTTATCTATGTACACGTTGCTACGAGTTCGTTAGAATACCAAATTGTTTTAGATACCACAAAATGCTTTTAAAGTAGAAATAAATGATCCTAGACTTTTCTCTATAAATCCACCTTTTGTGAAAAGTAAGATGTTCACGTTCTTTTATATTATATAAAAGGTATTCATAAAAATATTTCATTCATAATAATTAATCCTAATAATAGTTCATTTTATAATATAAAAATAATTCAAATACTTTTTTTTTTATATTATAAAAAAATATAAATATATATTATAAAAGAATATAAATTATGGAATAAGATATTATTATAATTTTTTAATAGATATGATCGCACTTATAATTAGAATAATTTACTCTTCTATATTATTATAAAATGGATTTAGTATTAAGTAAGCATTAAGATAGCGGAAAACTACTTAAAATTCATAGCACATAGGTAAAGAACATATTTCAACAAAATTATACTTGGTAATAAAAAAAGTATTTGAATCTACGCATTGTAACATAAATAAAAATTTTTCTTTTAATTTTCAAAATAGAAAAAAGTTAGTGAAAAATAAAAGTTACTAATTTAGTTTTACATTTATAACAATAATACTAGCGATTTACCAATTTACGATATATTTAAAATATGTCATTTTTTTTTCCAAATCCTTAAACTCTATTGATTGTTTTAATTTATTTTATGATGCTTACATAATACATTTATACCTTTCATTATTATTTTTTAATTTAAAATAATTATTGTAATTGATATATTTTCTAAGGATTTTCTTTATTTAATAAAAAATTGAATATACTATTATTATCCATATATATATACACATATGCATATATATGCACATTTGCCAGAGGAATTTTTGTAATATAAGCTAATTTAATTCTAAAAGGCTGAAGAGTTATATCTACTTGATAAATCGTTCAAAATAAAAGTAAAATAGAAAAATATTCAATAACTTTTTTTAATGAAAAAAAATATATATTACCAGATTAAAAATTAATATTATAAAATTGGAATAAGGCATTTATAGTGATTCTCGAATTTTTAAAATGACATTAGTAAGTAAAATTTCAAAATGTTAAATGCTTTTTTATTATTTTAGTCATAATCGTTTATAAAAATCATATAAAAACGGTGTGTGCGTGCGCGCGCGCGCGCGCGCGTGTGTTTGTGTCAATAGTTTTTTAATGCTATTAAATGCAATAGCATTAATAAAATTGGTTCAATTAAATTCTAATTAAATCTTAAAATCAATATTATTTATAAATATTATTTTTAATATTCTTTACTTTAAAATTAAATTAATTTTCTTGTTTTATAATTACTATTAATTCCAAGAATGCCGTAATTTTTTAAAATACAATAAAGACATAATATTTAAAATTAGCATAAAATAAATCTTTTTAAAGGATTAATAACAAGTCGAAAATGAAATATATTTAATATCAGTTTTATGCTAATGATAATTTATGAGCAATATAAATTCTAATAAATATATATATATATATATATATATATATATATATATATATTTATTATATTCTAGTAAATATAGCTAATAGTAATAATATGTATATTAGTATTTTAACTTATCATAGTACAATTTGGTTACGGTTATTTAATTGAATTTATAAAAATGAATCGGAGAAATGATTCTAATTTTTAAGAAATAATGACAAAAGTTTGAATTTTCTTTTACATAAATAAAAATGAGTTATTTGCATAATATTTATAAGTATACATACATTAGTTTGGGAAATACTAATTTAGGGGTTAAATAATATTTTGATAAATTATTTTTTTATAAAAATGATAGTGATGCCCATAAAGCAACCATTATGGATACATATAGTAATTAAAATCTCGGCTCTGTAAATTCGAATCAACATCTTGTGTCCGTTGACGATTTGTGAATAGTGCGTATGACCTTGAGATCTCATGAACAGCAGCAAATATATTATACAAATAGCCAATCGTGGACAAACGATGGGAATTAAGCGTAGGCGCAATGAGTCTAGGCCGATAAATCTTAGTCACGTTAAAATCAACGACAATTTTCCCTTACCTGGACTATTCCAAACACAAAATAGTTTTTCGAGCGGATATACAGCAAGTGGCTACAAAATAGGAATTCTAAATAAAGATAAATGTATACAATATCATTAGAGATTATGTATAGTCATACGTTTATAAACGACACGCTGACATGTATAGCCAAGCTATAATATGATTACGAATAAACAGGAAGCAGCATGATTAGAGAAGGAACATAAGTAATAAAATAAACATGTTTTCGTAAAATATTTAGCGACTATTAAGTGTGATATTTTACCGAAAAACCGAGTAAACTGATTTACAATAGGTTGTTAATTATTATTGAAAGAGAAATTTTGTTATAGTAAAAATTTTGAATAATTATATTTTTTTAATTCGCATTATGATATTGAGACAATGTTAATCGAATTTTACTGCTGAATTCGCAAGATAAAGAAATTTCTAAAGAAGCATATAATTGAAATGTTTGCATGTTAGTAATGCGTATAAAGTGAAATAAGAATAAGACATTAAATTAACGGAGATGTGTCATGACGTTTGTACATGATAAGTGGGAAGTAGGTAGTATATTATCACAGTAATCGCAATATAAAAATGCAACACTCATTGAAATACAAAAAGGAAATAAAGAACGTTCTTGAAAGAAAAGAAAACATTTACTATCTTGACGCGATAATAAATGAATATTGAAAATATTTCAAGAAAGTACATTTGCTATATCAACAATAAAATAATTCCGGTCTACTTAGAGAAAAATAAGAGGATAATCGTGAAGAATATAGTCGATACATAAATTATCGACTGCAAATACTTATATTTTATGCTTCAACTAATATTACAAAGTTAATTAAATCACGCAAATTAATATCGATAAGCCAAGTAGATAGAATGGAATAAACAAGTTTTATATATAATTTTAATATAAACTTGTGTGAATATATATATATATATATATATTAGTTTCAAAGGAACATGACGCGAGATAAAAAAAAAAAAAATAATAATAATAATAATAATATACAAATTTTAATGGAATAATTACTGTTGTAAAAATGAAATTAAAAATTGATCTAAAATGTATGAAAGAAAAAGATGTTTATAAACATAGACATCGTATTGTAATATTTACAAAATTTAGGCGATTTAATACGAGATTTATTCAAACTTTGTCAATTAGAATTATGAAAGTTTGATTATTCTTTATAAAAACGATTAATGAAAATATGCAGCAGCCGTTGAGCTGCTTTGGCGATTAATGATTTAATATTATTATTAACTAGTTGTAAGCTTAGGAATGAATAGTGTCGCATTGCAGGGTTTATTGCTTCATGACGATAAAACTTGTTCAATTGTACGAAGTTTTATTGGGTGAAGTACGTGACCGAAGCTAATTCTTCTTTCGACATTTTAAAAAATGTTAGCGATACGCAATATAAAATTATGGCAATTATTACGTTTTATCTTAAGCCGAATTGAAATAACAATTAATCCGTTTAATTTAAAGGTACACATTTGCCTTAATTTTGTTTATAACTTCCTGCTTCAGAGTTTAAGTATTTGAGTATGATTTTCATATTTTAATAATCACAATAATTTGGCAATGATCGATGCGTTTATTGTGCTTTTTATTGTTCTTGGCCATTAGGAAGAAGAAATTCTTTTACAATAAACAATTTCAACATATAATACCGAATCTTAACATCTATATTTAATTTTTTGTAACAATTATAACCTAATAATACAAAGTTAATAAAAGCAACTTACATGTATTGAATTAACATAACAGCACATCCATTCGAAAGTTTATCCGCAAAACTCATTATACCATAAATGAAGGCTCCATTCTCCGTGCTATGCCCAATGTAATCCGCTGTTATGGCAAGACTAGTTACAAGCATCATCGAACCCCCAGAGCCTATAGAAATATAAAAAATACTTTGCAAATAAGTTTTCACTCCTTGAGGATTTATGCTGAATAAAATTGAGGGTATATAAATACCTAAAAGTAACGAAACTGGATATATAAAGAGATGAATGTATTGGTCACCTTTACCAAACCAAATCCATATACAAGCACTAATTCCCATTGACGCTCCAATTAAATATGATACTTTTCTTCCTAATTTTGAATTGAGATAATGAATAATTAACGAAGCTTTAAAGCTACTTAGATATAAAATTAATGGTATAATGGCAAGTGATGTGGCCGGCATGTTTAAAGTTTCGTGTAAATATAAGGGAACATAGGTTTGGGTTAAATTTACAAACAGTCGAGTAGGCATGTAGATAAATGCCACTTGGTATAACTCTAGATCTTTAAACAACGAAAGCGGTGATCTGAGTTCTCGCTGTGATTGCTCTTGTGATGTACCTACTAAAAATAAGTTTTTTTTAACAACTTGTGTTATCGTTGCCTATATTCCAATTAAAATAAACAATACTTACGTAAATTATCTCTTGTATTATCTTCTTTCACTAATACATGAAAAATAATTGTCGTTATAAGACCAACGAGCATTCCAATTAAAACTATTTGTTGAAACTTATGCATATCGTTTGGTCCAATTTTATCGGATGAATTTTCACTGGTGATATCGAGCACAGCCCATGTTACACAGTAGACCAACACATTGGAGGCTACGGTGAAACTGTATCTAAATTTAATAAGAGAAATGAATGAAAATGTTTAAAATAATTAGGTAGATGTATTATCAAAGTACATACGTGGTAAATAAAAGTAAATAAATACCGAATCACTGTAAGAGTTGTGCGCTCTTCATCGGATTGTGTAAGATCTGGAATTAGGGACAAGTGCGATATTTGAACGGAAGCCCAGCCAAATTGAAATATAACAACAAAGGCAGCATAGTAGATAAGTTGAGCCCATTGATGAGCCAACTGGCATCCGATACATTGAGAAAATATAAATGGAAATGTGCCAAGTACGCAGATTGTGCCTAAAAATTAAAAGATTATTATATATTTCACAAAGCTTTGAAAGAGCGTATTAATTGACTAATATTATTAGTATAAATATTAATGCCTTACCAGTTAAATGCCAAGTCTTTCTTTTACCATATCGGCACAGCCAATAATTGTCATTTTTATCGGAATGTAAGCCAACGAACGGCGTAGCAATTGCATCAGCTAATTGTCCGATTAACAGAATTATACCTGCAGACGTAGAGCTAAATCCAAGTACAAGATGAAAATAAACCAAAAGATAGGTAAACCACATGGAAGCACAAATATCATTTAAAATATGTCCTACTCCATAGGCTAATTTTGATTTGAAGGATATTCTTTCGGCTTGCTGCTGATTATCGTTGGATTCATCAATAGTATTATCCATTTTCAAATTGTTGCCCTACGCGTTTATCAATTCTTGCTTGAACTTAATATCAAATACGAAAATTAACTTGATACATTCAGTATTTGGAAAATTAATACAACGAATAATAATTTTAAATATATGCATCTAACCTCTTATGGAATAAATAAAAATACTCCTTGTTTTGTGCTCTGTAATAAATATAAAAAATACAAACAGTCTCTAGTAAAGTAAAAAGCAAAATTTTTATTCTCATACGAATGTAAGAACATATTAGTTGTGAAAATTAAATTACGAAAAAAATATTATCATCGGCACTTATGCGGTTATCTACATCCATATTGGTAGAATTAACGCACACATACTTTAGCTGTCTCACTTCCATATTAATGACAGTTCGTCGGTTACACGCACTGTATATCACCAATGATTTATTATTAATTTTTAATGTAAGATTTTACTATCTACCTTTCAATACTTCAATATTAACATGTAGTGGATAAAACTTTTTCCGAAGCATTTCTGATACTATTTCTTAAAGGATGACTCGCTGATTAAAGATCAATAATAATAGACAATAAATAATAATAGACGGTAATAATATATAATATAATGTACAGACTTTATTTGCTCATTTGTCACAAATTTAATTAAATATACAATATATGTATGATTTTTTGGATAACAAAATCATAATGTAACGAACTTATATTACAAATGTATCGATAAAATTGTAAGGAGCTCCAGTATATTTATAATCGTTTATCATTTAAATATCTTATATTATGGAAATTTTCAACTCCGTGTTTATTTACATGAATATAATAAGAAACGTAAAGAGGCACAGTTATAATACAAGGCATCATCATAACTTGCACAAACAAAAATCAAATTTCATCTAATCTTTACAAGGATGCACATAAGTGCAAATCGTTAATCTATCGACCTGTTATATCTCTCTCTTGGAAAGATGACCGCGTTACAACGTTGATAAACGTCCAGTAATCAGACGCTTAATGAGGATCTTGAATTAAGGTAAAATTGATGACCGGAAAATAAGAATGTTAATACGTAAATGCAAGCTGCTATCCAGCAATTGTAAGCATTCCTTGTGAATCCACTGTCCGCTGCCATGTAGAACTCCTCAGCCTTGGCAAAAGTTTTGTCATCCAAAGGAAGATCTTCGACAAGGGCAACGCTTCTAATGTAAAAGAAAATACCCATCAGAACCTGAAATGAATAATTACATTAGGAGATGCTTTACCGGGCTAATGAGACTCGTGATTAGTCGCAATAGAATTTTAATTACAAGTTGGAAAATGCCCCACACAGAAATAACAAGGCCACAAAGGGCATACTTTGGACCGCAGATCTTCATCATTACTTCCTCGAGCTCCTTACACTTAACTAAGCTGTTTGCTGTTTATTTACAAAGGGCCGCGCAGCAACGTTACTTGCAAATTCTCATGTATCTCGAAGCGAAAGCACTTTGCTTGGCAAAGTAATAACGCCCACCAGTGGCGAGAGTCAACGGGTGATCAAGTCATATGATACGACGATGCACGTCGATAAATACGACACTTCACGGCATTGGATTGCGATTGCGAGCGCCGCGGAGGGCGTAGGAACCGAAGCTGTCGTTGGTCGCTTCGTCGAGGTCCGCTGACTCCTAGAGGGACGCATGCGCAACTCTCGGGCGGCATTCGTCCAAGGGATTCGAACGGCCGTTGGTAAACGGAGCTGCTGGAAAGTCCTCGGATTCGTTTTATCGAGGGGTGGGGTGGGGTGGATGGGGTTGGCGGGGATAGTGAGGCTCGTGACGTGACGGCGGCGGCAGGATATCGGCCAAGAGCCGAGCCCGAAGAGCAGCTCCTCGGTCTTCGTTTTGACGCGCACGAGCAGCTCGCGATCACGCGGATCTCCTCGTAGCCGGGACGAGGCGGTGGCGCCTCTGTCGACCGGTGCTCGCACTTGCATCTCGGAGTCGAGTCCGTGCATGAGCGATCGGAGACTCAGGCGCACTTGGTATGATATGCAGCAGGAGTCGCGAGTGATTCATGTGATGCTTCCTGCTGTTGTCGACCCTGTTGATTAGAATCATGGTTGACCGACTTGGTTAGTTCGGATCTTTTTCTACTTTATTTATTTTATTTGTTTATCCCTTGGTGTGTTGTATTCTTATTGCTTTTATGATTTTGGCCAATAATTTTACTTACCGTTATCTTACATTTTGAGTTGCACTCGCTTCGGATTGTCGGCGTTGAGTGAGAAGGAGCTGTCACATCGTCCAAGTGGCTTTTGACAGCTATTTGCCTTCGGTGTTAAAATAGTTAAATTGCTCTAGGGATACATTTTTTGTTATTTTTTTTTTTTTTTTTTTTTTTTTTTTTATAATTTTTTTTCCATTATTAAATTTGCGAACATTATTGATAATTTTGTGACGTCCTATTTGCAGTAAACAGCGAGGCTAATGCCAGGCGGATTACTATGGTGGAGAGCTGCTTTGGCAGTTCTGGTCAGGTAATAATTTGCAGCTTCGAGGAATGAGTGGAACTTGTAATATCGTGGTCGATTATTTATAAGCGTAAACGCGATTCTTAGGCGTAAGTCGCGTGTACTAACGATGACTAATGTATTGGTAAATATTGTTTCACGGTAATGTAGCCCCTGGCTGTTTCTGGAAGAGTGCTCGTCGGCGAAGGTGTTTTGACAAAAATGTGCAGGAAGAAATCCAAACCACGACAATTTTTTCTTTTTAACGACATATTGGTTTATGGAAATATAGTAATAAGCAAGAAAAAGGTATTGCAATTATAATAATTATGTGGCTTGCAATTTGACCGACGATAGGCAGCTAATCGTTTCACGTTGTATTATTTTGTGTTCTTCAGTACAATAAGCAGCGTATAATCCCATTGGAACAAGTCAAACTCGAATCGTTGGCCGACGATGGACGTAAGTTTGCTATTATAATTACAGGATCCTTTGTTATTTTCACTCGACATGCTTTTGACAATCTTTTGTAGAATATAAAAATGGATGGCTAATAAAAACAGTGACCAAATCGTTTGCGGTTTATGCTGCTACTGCGACCGAAAAGCAGGACTGGATGGCACACATCACAACATGCATCGAAGATCTCGAAGATCTATTGAGAAAAAGTGGGATTTAAATATAAACATATGCGTTTATAATGTATACCCATCCGTCGATCGTGTTTTATTATAATTTACTGTATTTTATTTCCTAGGTGGTAAGAAGCCCGTGGAGGTTCATGCAGCTGTGTGGGTTCCGGATAACGAAGCGACAATCTGTATGCATTGCAATAAAACACAATTTACAGTGATTAATCGAAGGGTAATTAATAGTCGATTCATTCGTCGATGATCAAACATAGCCGTTTTGTAAAATACTTTCATTTTGTCTTAGCATCACTGTAGACAATGCGGAGCGGTGGTATGCGGGCCTTGCAGTAATAAAAAAATGGTATTACCTGGCCAAGGTAACGGTAAAGCGGTAAGGGTTTGTTTACAATGCTTTGATACCGCGAGTAAAGTAAAAGCAACGAGACCATTAACGGACGATATCAAAGAACAACGCAATTCGGCCGACAGTTCTGGTGGTGATAGTTCAGGCGACGACGACGAAACTGCCAATAAAGAAGAAAACCACGACGAGGTTTGTTTAATTAACGATAACAGGGAGGGTATAATGATTTTTCTTCGCTGTTTTCATTCGTTAAATTGGGTTATGTTATTTTTAGCCAAAATTTTATTCGAGTCTGGCTCGATGAATGCAGATAAAGGAATAAAATGTTTAATAAAAATATTCTTGACAATCACTGCAGAACATGAAATTTTCTTAAAAGATCCTAATTAATAATGAGACGATTGTAGCTATTGCGAGAAGTCGTCGACTGATATTTTAATATGTACGTACAAGAGTTGTTTATTTCAAGTGACTGTGTTCGTATGGATGTCACTAACGTATACCGTCGAACGTCGGCTATGCAAAAGATAAGAAGTAAATTTATAATAAGTTGAAAGAATGAAAAAAGACAATGCTTCGTACCTATTTTTAAGATTGCCACTTTGTGCCTTTCTACACTAGATGGCTTTATATAAATATTGATTTAATACCAGCAATTTTCTATTCTCACGAATAGAAATAATTTATAATTAACAATTTCAGCAAAATATATTTACCCAAAGATCAAATGATATTTTGATAGCCAAATTTAAGAGTATTTTAATAGGAATTTTTTTTTTTATTAAGCCAAGTAAGGATTATTTACATAATAACCAAGGAAATAATATACATTATTATGCAATAAAAATTATAAATAACATGTTGCTATACATATATACATATATATATATATATATATATATATATATATATATATATTTATATTTATATATCCAATTAAATAAATGTATATGCATGTGTATGCATGTTAGCATATTCGTATATAGATGTATATATATATATATGTATATATATATATATATATATATATATATAATATGCGTATAGGCATTTATATACGCACAGTGTAATTAATCAAACAAGGACAAGGAAATGGTATATTTTTTTAATTAATATTAAAGATTTTTTTGAGTTTTAATTTTTTTTAACTTTAATCAGAAGGTATGTGTAACTTTTGTACATTTAATAATAACTATTTACTACTACATGTAACGCTTAAATAATACATGCAATACATTAAATAAGTAGAATATTTTATAATTATTTTTACCTTAATAACTATATAATTACATTTTATTCAGCATGTCATAACTTGATTATTCTGATTTGGGCAAAAGGTAAGGAGAATCTTTCGATTAAGCGCATTGTAAGTTGGTAGTGCTGCCGATAATGTACATGTAAATTTTAATGATCATTGGCGCTTAATTTGTATGTGGCGAGCGATTAAATAATTCGTGATTTTTATTTTGTTTTTTTTTTGTTTTTTTGATTATTGATTAATTCGATTGAAGCTTGATATTAAAAATGATAATACATATAACGAAGTTTTAAAAACTTTTGACAATTGTATATGAAAGTTACCATTTTACGTACAGGTAAAAGTATTTTTGGAAAGTATGAAAGAATATTCAAATGAGATGACGTTTAGAGATTCTAGTGCGTCTGTTGGGAAAAATTGGGAAATTAAATTATTAATCAATCGATAATAAAGCTGAGAATATAGAAATTTTATTTTTTTTATCTTGAACGTTCATAAATATGTCACGATATAAATTTAAGTTCAAAGCTTTTAATACTTTCATTTAAACATCTCTAATGAATTACTTGCAAATAAGATTGTCAATTAATACAAATAAATTATGAAAACTGCTGATATTAGAATTGTGCTAAACGAATCTTACTTGAAACAAAAATTTAATCATTTGATTTAAATCAAGTATTTGGTAAAATGTAAAATATTTATAATAATAAAACATCCTATTTAAGATTTAACATTTAACATTGTTTCTTGAAAGCTATTCCTGTTTCTAAGTAGAAGATAACATTCTTTAATAATAGATTTAAAAATATATTATCGATATTTTTTAAAAATAACCGCTAGCTAAGTTTAAAAATGTAATATTAAACGGCGAGTAGTTTTGGTAAAACTACATACACAAATTTTCTCGTAAATTAAAATTTCTTAAATATATTATTTAACTTTTATTATTTATTATAAATACATGTTTAAATACAAAATTTATAAAACTGTACAATAAAATCTTTATACTTATATTACGCATTTATTATCCTATAACAATAAAAAAATCATATAACTATTTCTTCATCTAAAAGTTCCTTTGTCGAGGCATTTCTTTCTTCTTGAGTATCACGTTTTTGTAAAAGTTTTTTGTATCTTTCTACCAAATCACCTATAGAGCGGCGTTTAGTGTTTTTTTGCGATACTTTTTCTGCATCATCCGAGTTTGATGGGTCCATTGAGGAATGCAAATTCGAATTCAACAGAAATGGCTCTCGAGAAAATTCTTGGCTTGAATTATACGAATCCATTAATGAAATACAATGTTGTTTGGCCATCAATGGTAACATCGAGTTACTTGTACTGGACATCATTGACATTACGTTTTTGTTGTCTATGTGAAAAAAGTTTATTTTCTATATTTAGCCTTCTACTCTGGAGATATAGAGCACATATTTTTTTTTAATGTTATTACCTTTATTATTATTTAGTTTGCAAGAAGAAAATATTCTAGAGTATTTGTCAACATTTTTAAAAGTACACTTGAGTTTGGAAGGTGTATGAAAGCGTTGCTGAGACAGCAATTGTTTATCACCACTGGCGTCGAATAACAATGAGTCATCAAAATTAATACATTGTACAGAAAGTGGCTTCTTCATCGAACACATGTTCTTTTCATTGAATGCGTGCCTCGAAAATAACTGTTTGTGTGCACCTACAAAGTAACGCACATTATCAATATATTGAGCTAAATTAATCACTTAAATGCAATTCTGTAATTTGTTAATTATAAGCATTTTATACCTTCAATGGGAGTAAGTTTTAAATTGTTTTGATAAAAACTTCGTCTCCCCTCATAATGATTATTTAATTGAATCGATGGAGATGGCATGAATAATACTTTATCGAATTCTGGTACATTTGAAATAACTTTCTGATAGTCATTTAATTCGTTATTATTCTTCATTTCAATGAAATTGAAATTTGCAATTTGTTCGTGTAATTTTTGAAAATGATTTATTGCAATTTTTAGATCTTTATTACTTATTTCTAATTGCTTATTACATTCAGACAATTCTTCACACTGATATTTTGTAACTTTGACTTTATACTTTTTTATTAAAATATTGAAAATAGAAAATAAATGTTGCAAATTTAAACTCTCTTTGTTATATAAACCATATGGAAGAACCTTAAATAGTAAAGCATCATTTTATATGAATTTTATATATATATATATATATATATATATAGATAATTATTACCTGCAGTTCTGGTGGTACTAATTTATAAATTGGATCTACATCGATTCGACTAAAATTGAGAGCATTCAGCGTTGGTAAATTTCCAATAATGTTCAACACTATATTTCCTAGGCACTTTAGAACTTCGTTCATTTCTTTCAAAAATTCATAATCATTTTGTAACGCTGTCTTTAAATTATTATCTATAAAACTTGCCCACACTAAAATAGCAAAATTAAGCATTTTTTTTAATATGAAATTTAATTAATTATGGTTTCATTTATTTAATATTAAATTTTTTTTTTTTTTGATGACATGTATCGAAGCTCTTTACTAGTATCTTGAAATTGATGATTATAATGCATGAATTAATCTTTATTTAAAATTTTGTGGAAATATATTGATATTTTCTTAAGTTTTTTAAAAAAGTATTGTTAGTAATTAGTAGCCGTGATAAATAAATTATAATTTTTTTTTTTAAATAATTTTGTACATTTTCTACATTGATGTAAAATAGTCTAGACATTGTACTAAAAATAGTCAGTAAATATTACGCTTCACTATATTTCACTTATTTTAAATCGGAAGGATTCACTTATAGAAAAGATATAATTGTAATAATAAATTCTAAATTTAATGTTATACAATGAAATATACTTAATCTTTATAAGTTGGATTAATAAATTAGTTAATTAGTTGTTAAATATTAATAAATGAAAGTTGAAAAATAATCTTTAATAGTGAAGAACAAAGTCCGCTGGCTGTTTAAACAACTTAAAGCTGTATTTTCTTGGAATAAGTTTGGACTTTTAAACAATTAAATATAATATATTCTATATGGACACGCATGATAAATACTCACTATTAACTATTTCATTATCATCGGTATTTATTAATTTTGTTCTAGCTGTATCGTTAACTGGAGCAGTAATTGTTATTTCTTTTAAGTTCTCTTTCATTTTTAATATTTTTAACTTTAATTCACTTTGTTTATCATTTTTTTTCCTGTTATAAAATACATGTAAATAAAATTTTATTATAAAATTTTACAAAAGTCTAATATTATTTTTAAATACTTTAAGCAAAATAACTTTACTTTTCAAACTCTTTTGCTTCTTGTATTATATTTTCTCTTTCATTGCGAATATTAGAAATGACATTATTATTATCTTTTGTAACATTTTTTAAAAATGTTTTTGTTAATTCCTGACAAGGACCTGGCTTTGGCGATATCGACATAACGGAATGATACTCTAAAAACAATTGAACAATTAATTATTTTTTTATAAAAATTTTCAATAAATTATGATAACATACCTTTCGTTAGAAATGTACGGAGTACAACTAAAGAAAATTTCCACATAATCAGTAGAAACTTGGTGCCTCTTGCTAATAGCAAATGTGATGCAAAAATTGGAGGAAAGTTGATATCAGGATTTTCATTTGCTATTGCCATCAAACATTCTCTCACATCGTTGCGAAATTTATTTTCAGTTTGTTTACAAATAACTGGCCACTGAACCTTATTTTTTATATTATCCTTATAATATATGTTCAATAAATAAAAAGAAACATGTATGAAACCTAAAGTATTTGGTTTATCAAACATACCCTATAAATTAAATCGGTAAACATTTAAATATATAACATATTTATTATCATTTTTTTTCCGATCATAAAGAGCTAAGATCATACTTCCTTAAAAAGTTTATCGAAATCATCGTTTGGAGGAACGAATTTTGTAAGTAAAATTACATTCTTATAAAATTCGGCAGATACTCGGTCCATTTTTATAAAGAATTTATAATTCCTGTTAGTTAGTGGTGACTACCTGTATACATTTTCTGTTTGCCGATAATATATTATTTTTTACTTAATTATCATTTGTACTTTAAAATTTGACAAACACTTATTAATTGCTTAATTAGACTTATATGCTTGACTAATATTTTAAATACTTAAAGTGAATACATACGTATATACATATAGGCTATACTTTACTGTACCCGCCAAAATATCAGGTGCAATTTCAAAGGAAACAACGACAAAATCTTAGGTAACTCACTTCACAGCATACCTTACTCGTAATATATAAGCAATGAATTTTACCATTAGAACAATCAAATTTAGAATTCTAATTTGTAGTTGCGAAGAAAATGTTGTTTTACTTACTTATTTCGTGGACATGTATAATACCATAAATACGTATGCGTTTTATTTGATGTAAATAAGTGCTTTGTAATAAATTAAATAAAAACGCAAATGTTGTCCTTATGTTTTTGCAAGCATTACTTTTAACGAAGAAAAATTTTGTTTTAACGATGGTTAATTATTTTAGTAGATCTAACAATTAATATATAATTATTTGCTAATTATTTAAGGTTTATATATAATAAAGTATGTAAGATGAACAACAAATTTTATTAGTATTATAAATAATTTATTCTAAAAGCATTTTCAATATTTGTTTACATTCGTCTCCATAACTTCTGATTCAATAAAAGATAGATTGTTAGTAAGGATATGAATAATGAATAACGAATATAGAATTATAGACAAGAAAGATATCTTAAAACACTAGTTTACTTTCTACAAAATTTTGACAGATAAATTATTGTACACAGGTAATTTCTATTTTATAATAGACGTTAATTATTTTCTTTTTTACATTGAAAATGCTTAAATAACTTATGGCTTATGTAATGAAATATATTATTGGTCAACATTAGGCTACAAAGTCCAGTGGCCTATTAAATCCTCCTTTCCTGTTCATGTACTGTCTGTATTTTCTTTTTAATATAACATGAACAGCGCCCGCATCGTTTCCCTCAACTTTCTTTCCCTTGGTAGTATCGAAGCCACAAAATCCCATTATTCTCATCATTTGCTGCTCTTCTGGAGTTTTTCCTTGTAAATCAGCTTCTATTTGAAATAGATAAACAAATTCAGTAATAGGGTAATTTTATAATTATGTCATACAATCCAGTGTTCATTTTAAAACCAACCGGTAATAATTGGTCGTTCCGTGTGTTTAATCTTAGGCTTGATAGGACGTTCCCTTTCTCTAGATCTTGATCTACTGTAGGATCTTCTGTGTCTCTCGCGTTCACGATCGTGTTCCCTATGTCGATCGGCATCCCTATCACGATCCCTTGATTTTGCTCTATCACGTTCGACGGATCTGCACACAAACAGTACTTTTGCATTGCTTCATTTAAATAATTTTGATAACAAGTATAAAGGTTATATTCTACCTTCGCCTACGCTCTCTGGATCTTCTTCTCCGACGTTCTCGATCACGCTCGCGGGATCTGTCGCGCCGTCGATTTGGCGAAGGAGAACGACTTCTTCCCATAATTATTTATTAAACAAATTAAATAAATAAATACTATATTATAACATCATCTTACTTACGTATTGCTTACCTATTCCAATGTGAAACAACTATGCTTCACTACAACGGTACAATGTATAAGCACTACACTACACCGGCTCAAGATAATTTCATCTATTTATCTGAATCGAGTGTGCCATCGCTAGTTGTCATGACAAAATTAAAAGAAAAAGAAAACATCTTATATATTCAACGCTCGTAAATCTCATAATGGTATAACTTATTAAAAAAAAAAAAAGAAAAAAAATCATTAACCTCCGTTGACGATTCTAACGGTATTTACAAAACATATGTAACAATAAGATTTTATAGCAGGTTCTTCTTACCGTCACATAAGAGATGAATCGCTGTCCCTGAAATTATCTTATTATCTTCGAAAATAAAATAGATGGGACTTAAACGTAGGATACTAAGCTAAGGCGAATGATATGTGCTTAAGCACATGGTGCATTATAACCTGAGTCTCGCTCCTTTGAGACGTATGATTTCGATATAAATATTTTATTACTTTATTTACGTGTATCGAAAAACGTTATACGTTGATTTTCTAGTCATCAATTATTGAATTATTTACATGATATTGTTAATTTTATTCAACAATTATGGTGAATGATGATTTAATTTTGTTGGATGAAATTCAACAAACGATACAAAACTGCACCAAAGATCCACAAGCTTTCTTAAGGTATTCCATAATTTTAATCTAATTTTAATATTTATTTTAATATAATTTTTTGTTAAGTGTTCAAGAAAATTTGTACGAAGATCTCAAAAATGCTACCAAGCAGTTATATGATTTATCTTTTAAAATTAAATCATTAAGTTATCCAAATTCCAAAGCGTTGCCAGAACTTATTGTCAAAGATTTAGATACGGAACAGATTTGGCAGCAAATTGAATTTGCAAATAATGAACTACTAAGTCCTTCGAGATTAGCAGAAATTTCTAAAATTTTAAATAGTAAAGAGTCGTTAAAAATACCATTAGAATTTGAAAAGGCGCTAAATAAGAATAACTCATCCAACGATGAAAGCGAAGAACAAAATGAAATTTTAACGGACAAAAATGGAGAGTCAACGGATGATAATGAGGAGTCAATGGATGAAAATGAAGAATCAGCGGAAGAAAATGAAGAATCGGCGGAAGAAAATGAACAATCAAATAAAGATAATAAAAAACGAAATAAAGGAAACGATGAACTTATAACGGAAGAATTAACCGAAGATATTAATAAATATGATAAGGATAAAAGAGAGAAAGCTTCTAGTAATACGAAAAAAAAAAGGAAAACGACTGAAGTAGATGACAAATTTTTTAAATTAGACGACTTAAACGAATACTTGAAAAAGGAAGATAAAAAAGAAATGACTATCACTCGTAATAAGAATACTAGTTCCGATGATGAGGAATCGATCGATTTATTTAATCATTTTTCTGATGTGGCTGACGAAGAAGATGAAGATGTAATAGAAACTAAACGACGAATTAAATATGCCGATTTCTTTGACAAACCTGAAAGCGATAATGAAAGCCAAGGGGGACGAAATGAAAACGATAGTGAGAAGGATTATAATAGCGCAAGCGACGATACCGATGATATCGATTACAAAACTAAAATTGAACAGATGAAATATGAACGAGATAAAAAAAAAGTTAAATTCGATCTTTCAAATGAAACGGACGAAACGGATTCGGATGAGAGGGCTACAATGAAAACGGATGAAAATAAAAATACTGACGAAAGTATTAAATCCTCTTTAGAAACAAGACAAGAAAGGTTAAAAAAGAGAATTAAAGAGTTGGAAGAAAAAGCTGTTGCAGAAAAACCTTGGCAATTAAAGGGTGAAATTAATGCTTTAACTAGACCCCAAAATTCTCTTTTACAAGAATACGTTGAGTTTGATTCTGCATCAAGACCTGCGCCTATTATAACAGAACAAACTACTATGAAATTAGAAGATATCATTAGAGGAAGGGTTAAAGACAAAGCGTGGGATGACGTTGAAAAGAAATTTAAGCCCGTTGATACGCCAATGGAATACAAAAAGAAATTAATAATGAATCAAGAAAAGAGTAAAGAAAGTTTGGCACAAATTTATGAGAACGAATATATAAAACAGAGAGAAGGTTTAAATTCGAATGACAAAGAGGAGCAAGAGGAGAAAGAACCTCAGGAACACATTGAGATAAAAGAAAGAATACACGATATATTTACAAAACTCGATGCTCTATCCAATTTCCATTACACTCCTAAATTAGTGAATAAATTTTATATATTTATTATTAGACAAAATAAAAAATAACACAATTAATAATCAATATATCGATAAAATTTGTTTTCAGGCAAAACCGGAAATTAAAATAATTAGTAATTTGCCAGCCATCAATATGGAAGAAGTTGCTCCTGTAGCGATCAGCGATGCAACACTACTTGCACCTGAAGAAATTCATAGTAATATACATAATATTGTTTATTTATATTTGAAGGTTATTTAGTAAAATTATACGAATATCATGTATATATTTTTATTTATAGCTAAGCAAAAGGGTGATCCGATTGGTAAATCAGAAAGAAGTCGAACAGACATGAAAAGGGAAAGGCGTAAGAAGAAACTTAAGCAACGCGCGCGGGCTATGAACGAAAGTAAAAAAGTGGCGGAAAATCATAGGCTAAACAAATCAACGAAGAAACTAGCAATTTTAGGAAAATTAAAAGGACGTAATATTATAGATATGAGCAATGAAACTAATCAAATATTGGACAAATCTATTAAATCGTCGACAACGTTCTTTGCTCATTTACAAGATCAAGCTCAGAGCGCTATTAAACAAAAAGTAAATGAAAATGTCAAGAAAAAGAATAAGAACACTTTATCTGCTGTTAGATTAAAATTATGATTATTAGCATTTAATAAATAAATAAAATTCTTCAAAAAGAATTGTATATTTGTATAATTCAATGCTATTTGTAAAGACAGAATTTCACTACCTATATAGCTATATTAAATAAATGTGGGTATCTACAATGTAAATATAAATAAACTGAAGTATAATAGATTAAGATGGAAAGTTTATATTCTTCTTGAATAATATACATATACCAACATAAAGACAACAGTCTTAACAGTATATGTATAAAATGCTTATCCAATTCATAAAGTAATACTTGAGCGAAGTTCACAATTTTGCACGCTATACAAAATTTGTAAAATACTTTTTTCGTTTTCGTGAAAATCAATAGCAGCTAATACAATTTTCTTTGATAATACAATAGCATAAACAAATTCAATCGTTTCATAGCTTGTAAATTGTGTACATATGTGACTACAGACGCAGCAAAAAATCATAAGAATGAAATGCATATAATTTACCATTCGGTAGTGACTCGATTATTAAGTCACTCAATATTTATTTTTAATTTGTCATTTTTTAGAACACGTCGATCTATTTTTAGACACTTTTTTTTCTTCTTTTTTCTTTTTTTTTCTTTTTTTCTTTTAAGAATTAAAATCAAATAAATGAAGTTTCCGTTGTGCAATTTCAGTTTAGTGCATTAAAAGAGGAAAACATTGTTTATACATTCTTGTGTGAAAAGAGTCTCATTACCGAGACAATAACGATTGCACAGTTTATAATTACAAATACCTAAATTAATATAATTGAGCTAAATTTTAAATTCTAATATTATTTCCTCTTAAAAACGAGTACAAATCCAAGAACTAAGAAAACCCTTTGTTACATATCCCATTTGTCACATTTTTCTTGGTACATGCATCAAGCAATAATCGCTTATAACTTATTCCGAATTGTTAGTACCATGGTGCATTATAATTCCTCGTACAATCATTTTTTACATTAATAATTAGCGATAACAAGAAATCTTGAATATTCGTCATTTATAAAAAAAAAAAATAAAGGGTAAATAGTGCTTTTATAACTAAAGTATTCTCGAGCCGTTTTTAATCTCTTGATGCCATTAGCGTATTCAACAACTTTGCTCTAATTTCAAAAACATGATTATATAATTGTTAACTTTGCTAAAGTGAACTTTCTCAAATAATGGAATGATTACCAATGTTACATTTTTTTACGAATGCTTTTCTTCCACTCTACCTTCAACAATAGAGTACAACAATTTTTTAATATTAAAATAAAAAGAGGATAGTCGATCTGATATAGTTTCATCCGAGATGAGAAAGTCACACACTTTGATTAAAACAATTGAGAGTTATAACACGGAGAGTTCATTGAATCTTGCACGAACAAACGGCGATGACAAATTCATTCGAAGCTTGCATTGAACATGCTTAATTCTTGATCCTGAAACATTTGTAACATATCGGATAGTTCTTGGGTCTGTGGACCAGGCGCACCAGTTGCAGCCGGATGTGTAGGCTGCGGTTGTCCACCAACTTGTGTATTTGTTTGACCACTGGCGTCTTGTGGAGGACCTTGATGTTGTTGTTGCCCTTGCCAGCTCCACATTGCTAAAAAAATGTTACGTTACATGTAATATATTTTATTAATACTACGATACTCTGATTTGGTAATTCGGTACTAATGGCTGACTATTACTGCTAATACTACTACTACTACTACTACTACTACTACTACTACTACTACTACTACTACTACTACTACTACTACTACTACTACTACTACTACTACTACTACTACTACTACTACTACTACTACTACTACTACTACTACTACTACTACTACTACTACTACTACTACTACTACTACTACTACTACTACTACTAATGCTAAATCATTAAAACCATAAAATTCAATATTGTTCAATCATTGCTATTTAAAAGTTTAGCAATTAATTTTAGTTCTGCTGCAATAATATATATGATTCAGTTACATTTACATTACTAGGCCTTTGAAAATAAATTAATTAAATGCGATATTTTTTATTTAAATATTTCTCCCCGTAAAGAGCATTATTTCCAATTGTCAGGTAGACTATTAATATACGAGTGTCCGCATAAAATTCGAGAAATTCTACGCTCTAATACTTTCTTCGATAAGTCGTCGATGCATAGAAGTAGCGGAAAAACCATGTTACCGCAAAATCGCGACTAGCCAAGAAAAAAATCGTTGAAAATATCGTTGAAAATATCGTTGAAAATATCCTTCACCTGCATTGTTGTTAGGTACTGTAGTAACAGCGTGATATTGGGCAGCTGGTGTTCGAGCTCCGCTGCTGAGTTGAGTATATGTCGGTCCACTTGGTGATCTGGATGGACTCGATTGACTGTACTGATAACCTTCGCAAGATACTGGCTGCTGCTAAGAGCACGGCAAAATGTGTTCAACTCGTGGATGAATTAGCAATAAGCCATCATGACTATGAATAATAAATAATGTACAATACAAACCTGACGACCAATAGTCGGCCAATTTCCTGCAGCCTGTTGAACCGCTGGCGTGGGTGACGTATTTGTTGCTGACTTTTGAATTCTATTTAAAACGGAGGACGATGTATTTTGCTGGTTCGATGAGCCATAAGCTATGGGCGACTGAGTCGTTTCGTAATTCTGGTAAACATTTTGCGTGCTCGATGGTCTGGCTTGTTGTTGTGGCGCTGGGGCCGATGGACCTGGCAACGAGGATGTTGTACGTTTAGTCCGCAAATAGTCAACCAATGCAGTAATATTTCGTTTCGTCACCTAGTCAAGATCTAACGAGGCGCGCGTTTTACCAATAAAATGTTTAAAGAGAGGCTTTTACCTGTTCCGGGCATTCCCGTCGCGTGCTGCATCATATGGTGAGCGGCAGGATACATGGGGTTGCGGCCCTGATGCCGGTCCAAAGAATAGTCCAGCCCCGGTTGGCCGTACGCGGTCACAACCTCGTTGTCTGCCTGGGCTTGATTGTCGCCGGCGCCACCACTACCACTGTGTAACGATCTGAATAATAAATAACAGGGTAAAAACGAATATGCAATGATGGAAATATATGCGACGAGGCGCTACCTATTCACGATACTCACTTGGCAGTGGTGTTTGTGCAAACGATATACTCGACCTCGTGTAGGGATTTAAGAAGGAAAATGCGGATGTTCTGAGCCATATCCAATCGCGATTCTTAGCCCGAAATCTATACATTACCGACAGTACTTGGCCCTTCAATTTTAAAACTGCGAACAAGAAGAGGGGCGGAAAGTTTTTTCCCATTAGTTTACGATGCATCGAGCATTGGCTACGAATGAATACTCGTAGTATGACAATTATAGATCACCTTGTTCGAAGCTTTCGCGCATGTGAGTGTGGTCCTCGGGATGGAAAAATTCGTAACATGGATGACCTAGAAGCTCCGATGGGGTATAGCCCAAAATAGCTCCAACCCTCTGATCGACGAACGTAAATTTGCCTTCGATGGAATGACGCGAGATAAATTCTACGAATGGAGATGTCGATCGACAAATTAGAATTTACAATGAATGATTATTGGCAAATGTGGCCGAAGATTTGATTTAACGCAGATTTTCAAAGCATTTCGGCTTACACTCGTGATACACTTCGTACGGGCTCTTCACCCTCGTACGAGCAAATAATTTAGCTTACCATTGTTACTACTAGATCCAGCTAAATCATTGGTATTTGGAGTGCTAGTGACTTGTAATCGTCCGATGGCAACAAGGCAATAATGAGTCGATACATCGTCATTGACGACTCCGTCGTTTGGTCCACCTTGAACACCACCTACGCGATCCGACATTCCCCCACCTGTGGCTACACATGAGGAAACAAAATCACCTAGACACGATGAAAGATTTATGATGAAAATGGATCAAGTATATTCACATTCATCTATTGATAATTATTAACGCGTGCTTTAATGACAAGCGGGGTGGAGGGAAGGGTATAGAGTGAAGTGGCGGTGGTGGTGGAGGAGGTGGAGGAGGCGGAGGGGGGGGGGGG